CAGCGCTGCCTGCCGGTGTTCGAGAACGCGGCGTTCGGCCGGCTGGCCGAGGCCTCGCACACGTGCGGCCGGCCGCCCGAGGACTTCTGCCCGCACGTGGGCACCGCGGGCGCGGGCGTGCAGTGCCAGCGCTGCGACGCCGCAGACCCCGAGCGCCACCACAACGCCTCCTACCTCACTGACTTCCACAGCCAGGACGAGAGCACCTGGTGGCAGAGCCCGTCCATGGCCTTCGGCGTGCAGTACCCCACCTCGGTGAACATCACCCTCCGTCTGGGTAAGCGCCGGCTGTGCCGCCGCCGCCGGGTCTCCACCCCATCCCAGCCCGGGACAGGACGGAGGAACAGGGCCTCTGCGCACCAGGCGGAAGGATAGACTGAGGGGTGTCCCTGGGGGCTGGAGGGGCAGGTAGCCTCCTGGGAGCCGCTTGCAGAGCCGGGAACCGGGAGTCATCACCACCCCCTGCCGTGGTGGTCTAACCTGACCCAGAACCGGCAGGAGAAGACTCCTGAGGCTGTCCACGGTCGCTGGTGTGTGTTCTTGGGGACCAGGGCCGAGGTGTCCACCACTGGACCGTAAGTTCAGTTCCTGGACAGGAGGCCCCAGTTTCATCCTGCAGTGGGTAGCTGGACCGCCCCCATGGCCTCTCTGCCTTGCTCATGATTCCCTGTGTCCAACCCCGGCCAAGGGACAGGAGCACGCAGATCCCTGGGGATCAGAAGTCAGGTCTGGATGGAGCCCCTCACTCCCTCCCCTGCCCCCCCTGCAGAGAACTGGAATGCCCCCAGGCCCAGCCCAGCATCCCACCTCCCCCTGCTACCCCCATGGGCTGACTTCTTTCCTGTCACAGCCTGGGAAAAGGGGTGTCGCTGGTTTCACCCCATTATCTGTGATGGCAAAATCTCCTCCAAAGCTTTGAAAACTCGAAGTAAACTCAAAGCACAGTTGACCTGGAGCAGCACAGGTTTGATTTTTTTCAGTAACTTCTGGGGAAGACAGTACAGTCCTGTAGATAGAGTTTCTCTTCCTCGGACTTTCCTTCTTTCTTCTTTCCTTCCTTCCTTCCTTCCTTCCTTCCTTTCTTTCTTTCTTTCTTTCTTTCTTTTTTCTGATTTTCTTTTTTTTTTTTTTTGGAGAGGTTTTTGCTGTAGGGTGTGTGCGCTCTCCAGACAGACAGAGACAGAGAGACAGAAAGCGGAAAATCACCCCCCAGGGGGGATGGCCATGCTGCAATCCCTTCTCCTCCATTCTCCTCTCAGGATCTTGGGCACACACACACGTCAGGCGTGAGTTTTAAGCCACTGGGTCTGGGATGCGAACCGCGGTCGACTACAAGGGAGTCCAGTGACATAGCCATTACGCTAACTGCTGGTCCCCCTCGGAGTTTCTTAATAACCTTTTCTTTTCTCTGGCTTACTTTATTGTAAGAATACAGCACATAACACATAGAACAGACCAGGCTGCATAGATGTGAATTAACCCAGTGCTGGTGTTATCAGTAAGTCTTTGGTGGAACTGGGCTATTACTTTCTGGGTAAGTCCAGAGCTATGTGTGAAGGACTGTTGCCCCATCCTTGTATTGTTCGAGGGTCAACTGTATTTTTATAACTAATTGTGGCTGTTAAATCTGACTGGAGGCTGTTCACAAACTTGGTTTATCCTAGTGAGAACAAATATTCATTCGGTTTTGCTACTAAAACCCTAGCCTGCAGCCCCAGCCCCCACCAGGGGTATTAACACAACAGGAAGAGACTTCAAAAAACTCATGAAAATGTGAATTAAATGACGAGTTTGTTTAGGTAGAAACAATTGTAGATACGTGCATAGTATTTTCATAATTCGCATTTTCCGTGAACTTTCTGAAGCCCTCCTAGCCTAGGAGACCTGCTCGCGTCCTGTCTAAGCCCTGAAACCGTTTGAACTCCAAAACCGATCTGGAGCTGATGCGTTTGGATCAGGAATATGGGACTGTACCCCAGTGTTCGGATGGGAAGGTTGCAGCTCAGTGAGGTCAGGGTTTGGCACGCAGCTCTAAATGGATGTCCGTGTGTGCGCTCTCCAGACAGACAGAGAGACAGAAAGCGGAAAATCACCCCCCAGGGGGGATGGCCATGCTGCAATCCCTTCTCCTCCATTCTCCTCTCAGGATCTTGGGCACACACACACGTCAGGCGTGAGTTTTAAGCCACTGGGTCTGGGATGCGAACCGCGGTCGACTACAAGGGAGTCCAGTGACATAGCCATTACGCTAACTGCTGGTCCCCCTCGGAGTTTCTTAATAACCTTTTCTTTTCTCTGGCTTACTTTATTGTAAGAATACAGCACATAACACATAGAACAGACCAGGCTGCATAGATGTGAATTAACCCAGTGCTGGTGTTATCAGTAAGTCTTTGGTGGAACTGGGCTATTACTTTCTGGGTAAGTCCAGAGCTATGTGTGAAGGACTGTTGCCCCATCCTTGTATTGTTCGAGGGTCAACTGTATTTTTATAACTAATTGTGGCTGTTAAATCTGACTGGAGGCTGTTCACAAACTTGGTTTATCCTAGTGAGAACAAATATTCATTCGGTTTTGCTACTAAAACCCTAGCCTGCAGCCCCAGCCCCCACCAGGGGTATTAACACAACAGGAAGAGACTTCAAAAAACTCATGAAAATGTGAATTAAATGACGAGTTTGTTTAGGTAGAAACAATTGTAGATACGTGCATAGTATTTTCATAATTCGCATTTTCCGTGAACTTTCTGAAGCCCTCCTAGCCTAGGAGACCTGCTCGCGTCCTGTCTAAGCCCTGAAACCGTTTGAACTCCAAAACCGATCTGGAGCTGATGCGTTTGGATCAGGAATATGGGACTGTACCCCAGTGTTCGGATGGGAAGGTTGCAGCTCAGTGAGGTCAGGGTTTGGCACGCAGCTCTAAATGGATGTCCGTGGACACCTAAGGTCAGAGCATCAACTCCCTGAGGTGGCTCACTGCCAGCAACTGCCTCAGCTCCTCCCAGGTGGGTTATGGTGCTCTGGAGAGATCTGGGAAATGACCCTGGGGCGGGGAGGACACAGTCCCCTCAGAGCAGGTAGGTGCTGCAGGTGCTGGCTCTTACCCCAGAGGCTCCGTTTCCCCCTGGGGCCTTGTTCCCGTCTCTCTTTTTTTTTTTTTTTTTTTTTGAGAGGTTTTTGCTGTAGGGCGTGTGCGTTCACCAGAGAGACAGAAAGCGAGAAATCACCCCCCAGCGGGGATGGCCACGCCGCAATCCCTTCTCCTCCATTCTCCTCTCGGGATCTTGGACATGCCCGCACACATGCCCAGTGTGAGTTTAAGCCACCGGGCCTGGGACTTGAACTGCGGTCGACTGCATGGGAGTTCAGCGACATAGCCATTACGCTAACTGCTGGTCCCTCGTTCCCTTCTCTTAACCTGTCTGGACCACGAGCTGAGGCTTCTGAGTGTGGGCGGGGATCTCTACCCAGACAAGGACGGGGTGTACAGGAAGCCAGAGGCGAGGGGCAGGCAGGGAGATGGCCGGGCAGGGCTGGCGGGACTCTGTGGCTACTGGGGCAGGAATCTGGGACAGGGTGGGGACAGCAGGGGAGACACACTGTTCCATGACAGAGGGGGTCACGTGTGTCAGAGAACTCAAGGCTCAAGGGAAAGGGGCTCAGCCGAAGCACAGGAAGGTGGGAGGAGACGTCCACGTTTTTAGATTTGAAGGGTTCCCGTTTGCTGGCTTGTACTGAGCTCCGTGCCTGTGTTCACTGAGCTCTGCCTGGGGCTGTAGGAGCCCGAGGGTCTGGTCCTCGCCTAGGCCAGTAACCGAGGCCCAGAGAGACCCCGCAGTGCAAGTGTGAAGATCTCTGTCTCTCTCTCTCTCTCACACACACACACACACACGTGCACACGTGTCTGCTGCGCCTTGCCCCAGGCCACTGTCCTTTCTCTGTGGAGCCTCATAGGAGGGAGTGTTTGCACAGTGAACGGGTCCTGCGTGGTGGAAGACAGCTCCTGGGCCCAACCCAGCGGGCAGGGCCAAAGAAGACTTTTCTCTGGGACCCAGCCTAAGGGGACAGCAGATGGAGACTGGCTCCAGGGCCCAGCCCAGGGTCCTCCTTTGCCTACTCTGGGAGGCGGAATAAACTGGCAATCTTGAAATCGAGCTTTGGGCTCAGGCCCATGGAGCCACTTACTGGACAATGATGTCACTACTGTGCCTCAGCGTCTTTGTCTGTGCTGGGGGATCAGAGTCTCCTCCCCGGGGACCAGCAGGTGGCGTGGTGGTTAAAGTGCTGGACATTCCCACATGGCTGACCATGGTTCAAGTCCTGGACCTGGTGGCTTGCTTGCTCTCTCTCTGTCTCTCTCTGGTCAAATTAAAATAAGGAAATTAATAAATAAAATTAAAAATAAATAATTCTTAAAAAAAAAAAAAAAGAAAAGAGTCTCCTCCCCTGGGGGGACACGCAGACCCC